AGTTGCCAGCCTTAGGATATTATACTATATGAAAATACAATGACGTAAAATGACGTAAACATCGGAATCTGCATATATAATATATTATACTATATGAAAATACAATGACGTAAAATGACGTAAACATCGGAATCTGCATATATAATGAGCTACACAATAAATCGCATGATGGCAAAGTCAGGCGAACTTTATACGTATTTTTAAGCGTTTAAAGCATTTTTACACCATTTGCCGGGCTGCCTATGTTTAAAGTTTAAATTATCTAAAAAACTAACGTAAGTATAAACAAACTAAACTAGAAATAACTTGTAAAAATAAGTAAAATACAAGTACAACAGCGCGAATCAATGCTCATAAAAATCTCAAAAAGTAAATAAAACTATACCCAAACTAGTTTTAAAGCTTTAAACTAAACATATAACGTAGGTAACTAACTAAAGTAGAAATTACTCGTGTTAAAAACAAAAACAACAGTGCGAAGAAAGGCTGATAAAATGACGTTTTTGTTTATTTTTTTAATATTTAAATCAAATATTACACATACTTGGTTTCCCTTGACTTTTCTTTTTTCCAATTTAATTTTCTTGTCCGTTTATGCTCGAATAACTCTGTTTACACTTGATTTAACCTCTTTCAACACAATACATAAAGTCCTTCCTTGTTGATTGTCAGAGGGGTTATGATTCGGTTGCTCTCTGATTGGCTCATACATTTTCCAGCAACCAATCAGAGTAGCTTATGGGGAAAAACATGCTTCTCGCATATCTAAATTAGATGTGTGAAAAACCCGCTTCGCCGTTCGTAGATGGGGTAAAAAAACCTCGATTTTTTCCTTTTAAACTAAAAAAACAATTAAGCTTGGTAACAAGCAGATTCGTGTTCACTAAAGTCTAAGCTATTCAGTGATGCTTGTTACCAGCTTCTAACATGAAATTGCCATCGGAATTTTTTTGAAGCGTTTTTCGCAAGCTTGGCCGGCCGTCTATTTCGCATATGATTTCACATGTGAAGATGCCTTTCCACCTGCGAACTTTTCTAATTCCACACATAAAATAAAAAAAATCAGATGTGCAAACAGATGTGAAAGAATGTGTCGCCTCAAATTGCGGGAATATGTGAAATCTTCCCTTTCCATATCTACGCTCAATCAATAAGTGGAATACACTCAATCAGTAAGTGGATGCCTTCTGACCACCTCTTTCCCAGGATCAACATAGAAATACTATCTATAGAGCTTAGGCAACTCTTTTCAACGGAGATATAGACCTATCCCAAGATTACACCGCGGTAAAACGTCAAGCTCATGCGCAAATTTACGAAAATGTCTGCCAAAACAAAGGGACCGTACCCATCATTTGAATTTTCCCCACTAGCCACAATACTGTAAAGTTTCAAAGAATTTGAAACTTTACCCTAAAAATTAAAAACAATGATCGTACATTCGTGTTGCCATGGCAAACATGTCGCGAAAAATCACTATATTGGCGAAAGAATAAGAGAAAATGTGTATACGTAATAGATTACTTACGTTTTGCGGTAGTTTCAAGATTTATTCCGTCGTAGTTACGTTGAGGTTTGCGTCTGGTAAAAAATATATAATAATGCCAATTATTAAGGGAATACCGAATGGTTTTCAGTGCAGGATTGCGTGATCCATGCACGAGGGTCAGGGTCGCCTTGAGACTGGCGGGAGCCCGGGACGAATTTTACCCGTAAAAATATTTTTTTTTAAAAAGGACTGGGGCCCAACAAAACATTCCTAGGGGCCCTGGGCAATTTGCCCCCTGCCCCCCCCTCTCAGCGGCCCTGACGAGGGATGTTGCGAGATTTTCGGAAAGCGCAAAAATACTCGAGCCGCAGGCAAGTGTATTATTACGCTTTCCGAAAGTCGAACAACATCCCAAGTGTATGGATCACACTATCCTACTTGGAAAACCACTTGGTAATTGTTTTATAAAATAACTACAGCGAAACAATGAGATTTTGAGAATCCCTCGAAAATCCCGCCAAGGCATTTTAATTCCACGTGCAAGATAGCCTGATCCTGCACGGCTATTGACCTATCAAATTGTGTGTGTTCACTGCATGTAGTTATTATATATTGTTCATTTCAATGGCAAGATAATGGCATTCCGATTAATTGACGTACGTGCAAAGCTCCCGAGCAACACCAATAATCATGATCTCTGTTGGTAAAGTTGCTTGGAAATGGGCAAAATTAATATGAATTTTCATGCTATGGATAGGAATGACGCAAATCTCTCCCAAAAGGGTAAGTCCACTTGGTTGGGGACATCTGATTAAGGAATTATATTGCGAGTAAAAGTGTCATGTAGTTTGTTTTGGAGTTGCATGGATTTATTAAATAAAAACGGAGAGCAAAAACGTGTGCGTTATTATACAGGATGGTGTGAACGCACAACTTCTGTCGTTTTGTCAACGAGAATACAAATTTCGTGCTGCTCACGAGCAATATAGCTATAGGGAAATTTCTACGGCAACGCCATGTATAAATCATATTGCCTGATTCGCCAAGCAAGTTGCCACACAAGTTGTTAATATTTATTATTTATTATTTAATATAATACTTAAAATTTTATACTTTAACTAATATTTTATCTTAGCATACACTTGGGAGGTGAATGGTGCTTGTCGCGCAATTTGATGGGTTGCTAAGCTCTCTATATCCTTGCGCTACTCAGTGTCGGTGAATATAGGGCAAGGATATATCCTATATACTGATTTTTAAAATAATAATTGTCGTATAGTTTACCTTCTGAAAAGTAATACACCAAATACTGCGACAAGTATGAAAACAATGACCACGATGACAACTATTACAATAACAACAGGATCAGTTCCATTACTCCCTGTTGACGGAGGTGATGTTTTTTTTACTAAGATATCCGAGCTTTGAAATGAAGTCTAAAAAAGATATACTCCATTGAACATTTTTTGAAGTAACTGCACCCGTATTGCTGCATGTTTTAAAAGATATAATAAAAGAAAAATATATAGTTATGCATGCGAGCATTAACCTAAACCAGACACAGTACTAAAATGCGGTGCCCGCCTACAAATAGCCTGCATGGCAGGCGGTCTAAAATACCGCCTGCTGGGTTTGGCAGTGTAATTTGATAACCGCCCACTTTTTTGTCCGGGTCCAATTAGCCAATCAGCAAACACTAAATATATTAATAATCAAACTGTCAAACTATGTTATTG